GTGAGAGAGAGAGAGAGAGAGAGAGAAGGAGAGTCTCTCTCTCTCTCTCTCAACGTTGAAAGAGACTGAAGGTTCCACGTTATCGCGGAAGATTCACTCTCTTTCAACGTTGGGGGAGAGAGAGAGAGAGAGAGAGAGAGAGAGAGAGAGAGAGAGAGAGAGAGAGGGCGCCACATGCTGAGTTTGTTGCACCAAACTCGACGCCAGACACTGGCTGACGCCCTCTCTCTTTCTCTCTCTCTCTCTCTCCTCTCTCTCTCTCTCTCTTGCTCTTCCCCCCCTTCCCCCGCCCCGCCGTGCCCGTTTCTTTTGCGTTGCTACTTTACATTTTCGTTGCCGTTTTTTTTTTCTTTTTCTTTTTTTTAATTTTTGCACTCGTTTTTTTGGAACTACTGGTCGCCAGTCGGTGGGTACCCCGCCCAACGTGCCGTGTCAACGGCCACGTCGAATTTTTCAAGCAGGGCGAGGTACTGGTGGTTTAACAAAACAATTCGTCTATAGATTTTAGATAGATCTATCTATAGATATTTGATTAACAAATTTCTATCTATTAATTCATTGAATTTTCACTAATAATTAATTCAATCAAATAATATCAATCTACAAATTAGAACAAAAGTTAGTACATTGCACCTAATAGTACAGATACAATGCCCAAGTACTAGAATAACTCCCCCATTATATTGATTGATTGGTTGATTGGCTGGGGTGGCCCACCCCCCCCTCCTCTCGCAAACTCTCCCCAATCTATCACAATCAATCAATCAATCAGTGACTTTCACATTTTTTTTTTTCTTCTTCAAAGTTCCATATATGCATATTGATTGATTGATTGATTGGTTGTCGGGAGGGGCGCACACCCACACACATGACAAGCGAGGAAGCCCCATTTTTTTTTCAAGTTTTTTGTTTGTTAATTGATTAATTGATCAATTGATTGACTGATTGGTTGGTTGCAGGGGGGTCGACTGCCCCCTTGCGTGCACACACAAACACACACGCAGACACGCCGCCCGCACAAAAGTGTTTTCCTTTTTTTTCAAGTTCGTTTTTTTTTGTTGATTGATTGATTGATTGGTTGGTTGGTTGCAATGATCACCCACCCCCTTCGCGCGCACGCACACAGACACACACACACACACACACACATTGATGGGGCGGTCGGGGGGGCAACGAGTTTACCTACCCACATATATTTGTATTTTTTCTATACTCTTAAAGGAAGCAAAGGGCCCAGCGTGACGACTGCCGTTGGGCCCAGCGAAAACCAGTGTGGAGGGGCGCGGGACTTGGGAGGCGCGCGGGACTCGAGCAAGGGAGATCCGGCGCCGCATTTCGTGGACGCGGGGGGGCATGGGCCAAAGAAATTACGGCGCGCCGTTTCGGGGCGGTACCGAGCGCTGTCCTCTGTGAGTGTGTAAATGCAGTGCGGTGCAGTGTGGTCCGTGAGTGCGAGAGTGCGGTGCGTGAGTGCGAGAGTGCGCTGCGGTGCGTGAGTGCAAGAGTGCGGTGGGCCTGCGTTTTTTTTTTTTTGACCGATCGTGCGGGGCGTGGGGGGCCAAACTACGTTATCGGAGCGTTGCTTTGCGGGGATCAACGGTGGCCGTGTGTGTGTGTGTGTGTGTGTGTGTGTGTGTGTGAGAGAGAGAGAGAGAGAGAGAGAG